AATCCTTCAAGAATACTAAAATACTAAAGGTTTATTCAATAAAAGGAAAAAGATAGAGATGAGAGTTAGAATTGGTTAAATGGAATCAATTACATACAGGAATGGCAAAGTTCTTGGTTCAGGCTTGCAGCAGCGATGGAATAAACTGCAGGTTCAAATCAAGTCTCTGGAATACATCCCCCGCTGGGATGGGTCCTCAGTCCTTTGTTCAAAGCTTCAGCTTGTAGCAAAGTTCCTCCAGAGGTATGAAGCAGGATTGAAGACCAGATGGAGATGAGGCATCAGCCCTATATAGTCTTTTCCAGGTGTAAGAACACCTCTTTGTTCTTACTGTGGAAAATTACAGCAAAATGGAGTCTGGAGTCACATGGGCAAGTTCCTGCATACTTTGCTGAGTCTCAAGGCATATTTGCCTTCTCTCAATGGGTCAATTGTAGCTGATGGTCCTTAATGGGCCATCAAGCAGGCTAGGCAGAGCTAACCCCAGCTTGTCTGGGATGTCACCCAGCAGCATAGCATAAGTTTGAAATACAGACAGTATAGAGCCAATATTTATAACTTCAACTACAAAAGTAATACACACATATAGACAGCATAATCATAACCAGTAAACCATAACCTTGTCTTAGACACCCCATTTGACCCCCTTTATACAAGATTTGGTGCCACTACAGGACCTCGGTTGCAACAATGATCTATATGGTCCCAGATTATATCAATAACGTCACAAAGTTCTCCCCAGCACATTCCAAGAACTTACTGGAAATGTTGTCCCTTCGATATAACTTTACAAAGCACTGAAAACGGATAAGGGAAGCAAAATACACCAGGCAAACTCCATGGCTGGCAGAGCTAAGGGCAATAAGGAGTTTTAAAGTATAGTAGGAACAACAGAAACCCCAGCAATGGGCTAGGCCCGGGGCCTCTGGAGATGGTAAAATGGTGACTCATGATACAGAAAACGTAGCTGTGTTTGATAACTAGTTCTGTTCTGTTTTAAGAAAGAAGCGGGATGATGTGCTCTTATCACATGAGGATGACCACGTACTTTCCAGTCCATTAGTAAGAGGAGAATGTTAGACAGCATCGCCTACGGATAAACATTTTAAAATCACCAGGCACAGATGGCTTGCACCCAAGAGTCTTAGGGTTGGCTGAGGTAATCTCTGCCCGGCTGCTATGAATTCTGATCAATCTTGGACGATCGGGGGATTCCAGAGGACGGGATGAGTGCTAATGTTGCACCAATATTCAAGGGCAAGTAGGATGATCCAGGAGGTACCTACAGGCTGGTTAGCCTGATGGCAGTTGTCACGGATAAAGCTTTGGAACTGTCCCGTGGAGGAAGCCTTTAGTGTGCCAGACCCACAAGGGGTCCCACTCTTCCTCCAGGGCAGGCCACACAGTCTCTTTCCTGGGCCCCTGGGCTCCACGCCCGGAGCTCTGCCCTGCCAGCCCCACTGAGCCAGACCCCAGTACACTTTGCGGGGACTAGTGCACTCAGCCAGTGTTTGCAAAACAGCGTGGAGTTTACTAGTCAGCTGGGACAGGCCTGGCCGGCCCTAGCTCAGCACAGAGAACTGAAGGTAAAAGCATCGTCCGTCTGCCGAGCTGGAGCAATCGGCCAGCCAAGCTGGAGTGGCTGCGTCGCTCTCTGACTCCTTGTCAGTCCCTGGAGAGAGCAGCCGGCCTCCTCCAGAAGCCAGCCCTGGATCCCCTGCCCAACACGTCCCCGTCCTGTGTTCCCCAGGCCGGGCCATGCCGCAGCCAGAGCTTCCTGCCAGGGAGTGTTTACGCCATGGGGCTTCCACTGTCCCTGTGGACCTCTGTTGATCTGGGTCGGTTTCAACCAGTTCCTTAACCACCGTATTCATGCAGCCCAGCCAGCCAGGCGGCACCCACACTTCCTATCCTGCGCTGCCCCCAGAGCAAACCAAACTCTTTCCCCTCCAGTGGGCAGCAATGCAAAGTACAGAGGGAAACCGAGGCACACACACGCTTCATACAAATATGACAGCAAATTCCCACTTTATCCCATCAATGGAAAATAATGGAGACGCTGATACAGAATGAACCGCAAGGAACAGAATTCAGGGCAGATGTGGCAAGTGCAGGATTTTTGTTCTACACACTGAATTCACCCACGCATGTTGTGCTGCTCCCCGCAGGGCGTCTCCGAGAGGAGTGGGTGTCGTGTGCTGGCTGGGTTGGGACTGGTTACATTAGCAGAGACTGAACGCAATCACCGCTTATGCTAGAGAGGCCTGGGCCTGGATGTGAATGCGCCATGACCGGGAAGGCAGGCCAACTGCACTTATATCGGGGCTTCTCTGCATGGCCGGACGGGGGATGGGGGAAAGCCCCTGCCGGCGCTGGGAGAAGGTGACATCCCTCCCTCTGCTTCCAGTGCCGCCTGCGAGCCCCAGCCCCACCTCGAGCCGGCCCTGGCTGCGAGCCCCCTGAGCCACACCCTGGTGGAGACGTGCACGCGCCGCAGGGCTTAGCGCCCCCAGCCAGTGTTTGCAGCGAGACCCGGCGCAGGGGTATTCGCCGCTGGAGCCCAGCACTGGCCACCCTTCGCTCAGCGCAGAGAAGCAAAGTGACGAGATCGTCCCTCCTGGCCAAGCCAGGGCATCAGCCAGCTACGCTGGCGCGGAACCGTCTCTGGCTGTGCCCTGCTCCCCTGCCCAGAGGTGGGGCATCCCCCTCCCCCCGGACCCCCGGAGTGACCGTTTCCCTGGCCTCTGTGGCTGTTTGCTCAATGGCCCCTCCGAAGCCCAGGTGGCTAAGCAGGGATTGAGGTGCCTGCTTACAGGTCCAGGGCTGGAAACGTTGGTCTTGTCTGCACTAGCGATGTGTCCCGGGCTGACGGGAGGCTCAGCGCGACCTAGCTGCAAACCGGGACAGCACCGAGCCGCGGGCAGCGCCAGCTCCGGGCCTGTGTCTGCCCTGTGCCCAGCCCCGATTCCTGGTGCTGCCCTGGGCCAGTGGGGAAGGGGCCGGGGAGGCAGGCCACAGTGCTCAGCCTCCAGCAGGCTTCCTGCCCCCAGTGCACCCGGCAGCCCCTGTCCTCACCCTGGAGCCTGCAGGCTCCCTGCCCCACGCTGCCTTGCACCTGACCACAAATGGTACGACTGGCCCTGAAACAACCTAGTGCTGCCTTGACCTCCCCCTCCCCGTGGGGCCTGGCCCCCAGGAGCTCTGCTGGCTGGGCCGGTCACGGCGCTGGAAGGAGCCTGTCCCTGGCCTGGCTCCGCGCTTGCCCACCATTAACGTGCGGCGAACCCTGGTCTGGTCCCTGGGCCAGGTCCCCGCTGCTCCCCCTTTGTGCACAGCCCACTGTGTCTGACACCCCGGCTCTGCCCCATGTACCTGTCGCTGGTGGAGGGCTGGTCTTGGCCCCCTCCCAGCCCCAGCATGCCCCTTCGGGGCCCCGGGCGCAGCTGCCTCCGGCAGGGCACACACTGTGGTCCTGTTCCCACATGCCCGTGTGCTGCCTGCAGGCCCAGCTCCAGGTGCTTGCTGTGCCGTGGGCACAGGGGCCAGGCGGGCGCTGGTTGCAGCCGTGAGACATGGTGCCTTGGCACAGGGCCTGGGCGGAGCAACCGGCCTCGCACCCTTACACCTGCTGTGGCTCCATGCTGGGGGGCAGAGGAGCCTGGAGGTGCAGCCGGGGCCTGGGACTCCCGCGTCCCTTTGTGACGCCTTCCATGGAACTGGCCAAAGGTTCCGGGGCCAGGCCAGCCGGGGGGCCCTGGCCGGGCCATTCGCTGCTGCCCCACTGCAAAGCCAGGGTTGGGTTGGGTTGGCACGTGCTGGGGAGTGGCAGGTGCCTGTTTACCACAGGGCAGGAGGGGGCGCGGGGAGCAAGGGAAGGGGCAGAGCAGGACAGCACCTCTGTGCGCTGTGCCCCAAGCTCCTACTGGGTGGCTGGAGACGCCCTGTGGCCGGGGCCCCCTTCCCGGCTCATGCTAGCTCCCCACCACTGGCTCCCCCCCAGCCCTGTTAGCACAGGACCGGCCAGGGGAGCCCCTAGGCTCTGGTGTTGAAGCGGGAGCTTACATCACAATGTCTGCCAGGTGCCCTGCTCATGTCATCACCACCGGCCAGCCACCATCCCAGCAGTGGAGGCCAGAGGGGGGCGCATGGCCAGCTCCCAGTCCACCTAAGCCCCTGAAATCCCTTTCCCCATGGCGTCGCTGGCAGGCGCAAGCCCCCTTTCTCCGGGGATGGCCGTGATCAGCTGCTACGAGCGGCTGAGAATGGAGATCCAGGCACTGATCACTGAGAACAAGGAGCTCAGGAAGCTAGTGGACTTGATGAAAGAGAACCAGGAGCTGAAAAACGTCCTGCGGAACCAGTCGCTGAGCGGCGAGACGTCACTGTCCACGGTCGCCTCCAGCAGGTCCAATGAGAGACAGCAAACCGGTGTCCTCAGCCCAGGTCAGGCAGGGCTCGGGGACAGTGCCGTGGTGGGGGGTAGGCAGCTGGGGTCTCCGGCATGGCCCCAGGAGCTGAGCCGGCTGGACGGTCCTGAGGAAACCCCAGTGTGCTTCGAGGTGGGGCACCCCAGTCCTCTCTAGGGGCACTTGAGGCCCCACATGCTTCCTCACCAGCTGGGGTACCATTTTCTCCAGCCACCTGCTGGTGGCTGGGCCCTGAGCTGTACACAGGGCATTCCTCCTCTATAC